AGCTGATTGCTGAGCTGGAATACTGTGTACACTTCAGATTAAAAGTTATTTCCCAGGGACACAAAGAGCTGTCTTTCTTCATTGCTAGAAGACTTTGCCTTGCTTGTTACAAATGAGTTGATACATTTTCTCCCTGAATACTTATCAATCAGAGCCTAGTGGCTTCCAGTGTTAAGGATGGCACACCTGGAGGAATGCCATTCTCCTCTATCATTTTGTCAGGAATTGGCCATAAAGATGGGTTAATTCCTTCAGGCTCACTCTAATACTTTGTTTTATGAAAATAAAAATTGTAGTGATAATATTTCATGATCCATAATAACAGAAGGCTTTGCCCCTCTTTGCTGAAGTAAGGATTAATTTCTGGAGCTTTTAGCACATGTAGGTCAGTGGTACAGTGTTTGCCTGGCATGTAGTAGGCCCATGTGTTCCAGCCCCCAGCATCACATACAAAATAGAATCTTTCCAGGACAAAGAGCTTCAAGCTACTTTCTTCTTTTCATTACAACACTGAACCCAATGCCAGATGCCATAAAATGCCTTAGATAGAGTGTGCTCTGTTTCCCAAGGCTTGGTTTGGCATTCAAACCATTTTAATGGGGAACTGTATAAGAAAATCTAATATAATACCTAAAAATGGTACAGTTGCAGACCTGGTGGAGGAGGTTGCTTGCTGGCTTGAGTTCAGGATTTTTGTGAGAAATGTTCTTTAGCTGCTAGAAGCAGGGTCTCAATGTATAGCCCAGGCTAGCCTTGAACTCTCAGTGATCCTCCTGTTTCAGATACTTGAGTGCTGGCATGAGCCATTAGGCCTTGATCAAAAACACCTTTGGAAAGGGAATTTTTCATTAACACAGGCTTGTCAAAGCTGTGTTTTTACCAGTAGGAACACAATCAAGCCAGTATATTGTCTGCTCCTATCTTGCCATAGCCTGTTGTTAGCAGACAGTGAGTAGACCTAGGCCTGGATCCATGGAGTCTTAGATGCAGATGTGACTGCTAATTCCTGAATACTTGTGATAATTGTGGTTGAAACTGGAGGAAACAGCTTCCACAATACTTACGGAACTACACTTTGAAAGCTGTTAGACTTTTAATGTCCTCTTTACTGAGCTGTTCAGTGCCAAGTATTTGTGAAAATTTATGTTTCTTTAGTGTATGTTTATTCCCAAGTTGAAAAATTTTAAACCGGTTTTAGCCCCTTCCTTCAAGGATATTGCTTGGCTTTTTGATTTATACAAATTATATTATGTAGGTCAAATCCTTGACTAGAAACTCATCTAAATAAGGTTTACCTTGGAATCCCATGTTTAAATAGCACTGGAAAGAAATGTGCTTATCTCCATGGTTTTTCCCTAAACTAAGACAGCCACGCCAGTGCTGAATATTTCTTTTGTTTGTGTTCCTCAATACTTTTATGTTATAGCCTATTTTAGGGATAGTAAAGTGACTTTTTAATGCTCACTTCTCCTGTGATATATTAGAAAACGTTTATATTTTTATTGTACAAAACTTTTAACATCTTGTGTAGACCATCTCTCTTGCTGGTCATCTCTTTACAGATGTGAAGTATCAGCCCTGTTCAGTTTCCCACAGCATAAGCTTTTTTTTTTTTTTTTTCTCTTTAATTTTGCTTTTTAAACAATTTTATGTTACCTGTCCCTGCTACCCTCCCTGTTGCTTGGGCAGTTTACGGGGCCACTAGCAATGGAGCCAGTATTCATACCTAGTGCATGAACTGGCTTTTTGGAGCCGATTCCCTATGGAGGGATGGATACTTTGCTCAGTGTAAGTTTTACTGTCTCAAATCACTTGATTTCCAGAGGTTAAGTAAGTGATTAATTAGCATTTGTTTTAAAAAAATATGGTGTGACTCTTAATATATGAGTATATTTATTTCATTGTCCTTCAGTCAACACTTGACGTGAAAAGAATACTCATGTCCCTAAAAATAAATTGCTTATTCATTTTCCCATGAGAAGTAATCTACCTTTCACCTAATTAAAAACATTTTTTTGGTTTGTCTCTCCTCACTCAGGCACTCCAAATGACTGATATTTTGAATCAACTTAGCCACCATGAATGTAGCTGGACTAAATTATGCCATTATCAACTTTATTATTTTAATTCCAAATGTAAAATCATATGCTGAGACATTAACCAAGTTTTTATAATTTAAAGGGAATTGAAATCATGCACAGTGTTTTCTTTGACAATAGTGGAATTAAATTAGAAGTTATAATGGAAGGGAAGAAAATCCCTAATATTTAGAAATTAAACAACACACTTCCAGATAACCTGTAGGTCAAACAAGAACCCAAAAGGGAAATTGGAATGCATTCTGAAATAATGATAATGTAAACCCAATATATCAAAATCTGTAGGATTTAGAAAGACAGTTGTTTTCAATGATTTTTTTTGTTAGCTATAAAGTAAGACTTTTAAACCATGAAAATATAACATTATCAACTGATGTAAGTTAAGCCTGCTTATATTGACTAATGTACACCTGTCATTCTAGCATTTGGGAAGTTGAGACAAGAAGAATGCTAAGAGTTCAAAACTAACCTGGGCCACATAAGGAGTTCTAGGCCAGAATGATGTAAGGAGTAAGGTTTTTCGTCCCGCCGCTGGTCTGGTCCTACCACCGTGTCAGCCCCAAATAATACACAGAGACTCTGAATTTGATATAAATGCTGTTGGCCAGTTACATGCTTCTTATTGGCTAACTATGTCATAAGTATTAACCCATTTCTATGTATTTTCACGTGGTTTCACCTACTGGGGAGTGGGGCAGGCCTCTGGTCTCCCCAGCCTCTTCATGTTGACTCCTCCTTCCTACTTCCTCTTTCCTCCTTGTCTCCTAGTCCCTCCTATTTTCCTTTCCTATTGGCCAACAGTGCTTTATTCATTAACCAGTATGAGAAACATATATATAATGGCATCTCCCATCAGAATGAGGCACAATGTGATACACAGAGTCTCAAAATAGAAAAAGGAAAAAAAAATGCAAGATAAGAATCAATGTGTGGTTGTCCCTCAGATTGGGGGACTGATCTGAAAGTAGTCACAGAGATACCGTAACTGTGTATTTTTTGAAATCCATGTGTTCTATTGATAACTATTCTGGGTTGAGTTGTGATCTTCTAAAACTCCTATATGTGAGTCTCAAATCCTAGCACATCACAATATGAATGTGATTAAGTTATCATAGAAACTTTAAGGTAATTAAGTTGCCAGGAAGCCATATTCCAACATGACAAGTATCCTTACAAGGAGAGAGTCAGGCTGGAGGGAGGTGTGAATATAGAAGAGGCTTCTAGGAGATGGTTATGTACAAAGCAGTGAGAATTTAGAGGAAACCAGCACTGCCCATATATGACCCCAGATGTCCAGCTTTCTGAGCTGTGAAAGAACACATCTCTGTTCTTTAAAGCCACCTAGGGCAGGGCTTTTCTTAGATCAACCTGTTCTGGGTAGTGTTTTATCAATTCCCAAGCTAGAGTCATTTGGAAAGATGAAACTCAATTGAGAACATGATTCAACCAGACTGGCTTATGGGCAAGCCAGTCATGGCTGGGGCCATGGTCTTGATTTGTGATTGATGTGGGCCCAGCTCACTGTGGGCAGTGCCACCATTGGGCAGGTGGTCCTGAGCTAAGCAGGCAAGCAGCAAGCTAAGAAGGCAGGCTAAGCTAGGGGAGGAAGCTGATAACGCTCCTCTATAGTCTTCGTATTAGTTCCTGTCTCTAGGTTACTGCCTTGAGTTCCTGTCCTTCCTTGGATAGTGGACCATGACCTGAGATTTGTAAGTTATATAAGCCCTTTCCTCCCCATGTTGCTTTGGTCATGGCGTTTTATCATGGCAACAGACACCTAATGATAACACTGCCCTAGCAAGATAATACATTTTGAATGGACTACCATGTATGTAGCTATGCTAAATTATGTTGTTAGACACTTTTATTATTTTAATTATGAATGCTTAGACTGTATGCTGAGCCACTAAACTAGTCTCTTTGATTGAATAGGAATCAAAATCACACAAAACTGTATTTATGCATATGTGCATGCACTCATACACCTGAGTGGGCGTGTGTGTGTGTGTGTGTGTGTGTGTGTATGCCTGTCTGTGTTCAGGTGTTTGTGTGTATGTATGATTGGAGGGGGACAACTTTGAGTGTCATCCTCAAGACAGCAAATTACCTCCTATGAGACAGGGTCTCTCATTGCCTTCATCTCACCTGTTAGGCTACTACTCTGCCTATCTCTGCCTCCCCAGCATTTGAATTACAAGCATTTACCACCATACTCATTTTTTTCCCTTTAAATATCAATTTCTAACACGGATGCAGTGGATTGAACTCGGCATCAGTGTGTTCAAAGCTCTTGCTCTATTTCCCCAGCCCTGAAAACAGTATTTATTTTATTGTTTTGAGGTGTATGGTGTTTTTGCTGTACATCTGTATGCTGTATATACCTGGGTGCCTCCATGTGGTTCTTGATAATCACCCCCCCCATACACACACACAAATACATATGCAGCACCCCTGTCCTCTGCCCCAGGAATCCGTGCGCTTAACGTCTGAGGCATCCCTTCAGTCCCCAACAGAGCATTTTGAAAGAAATTTTTTATTCTTAGCTGTGTCTTGATTTTGTGTTTAATATTTTATAGGTTAGTTGCAATTGAATAAATGGCTAATGTCCTAGTGAGGCTTCCTGTGTCAAAGCATGTTGATGACATTTTTCAGGATTCCAGCTTTAATGTTTAAATACATAGGAGTGGCTGTGTGTAAATATTTAAAATATGATGGACAATGCTATCACTTTTGTTAATGTTCTATACCTCACTGTTGTGAAGTTTAAAGAAAAACCTGGGTCAAATTTGTGTCTCCTGTGCCTGCCACAATCATGTGAGCCACTCACTGTTTCCAGTGCTGTCATTTATTATGATTATTTTGTTGCAGTTTAGGTTTGTTTTTTTTTTTTTTTTTTTTTGAAAGGTACAGAGTTGCGGAATCAATCTTATACCCTGGATGTCCAGAAACAGGGGTAAGCCAAATGTGTTGAGAAAATGGCTGTTTCATGTTGGCCTGAGGTTAAAGCATTTGGAGAGCAATTGTGAGTGTCCTCCTAAGGCCAGGCTTATCTCTATTTTGCCTCCAGCGCCAATGTAGTTTTCTGCCTTTGGGGACTGGGCAGCAGCAGTGACAGATAATAAGACACAAATTTGCTATTTCAGGGCAACTTCTGCTTTAATACCTCATGTGGGCTTTTCCCCAGAGGCAGGTAGAAAAAGAATAGGGATTAGTCAAGCTTTTGGGGTCTTGTTCGTGGACATGTGCATGCATGGATGTTTGCCTATGTACATGGACTTAGAGCATATGTAAGTATTTATTTGCTTTCAGGATGGCATTCATAGCCAAATTGCTACCGTATGAGAAATGAAAACTATGCTGCTCAGGGAGTAGTTGGAATTAGGCAATCTCTCAGAAAACTCTGCCTCTAAATAAAACTCATTTTAACTCTTCATGGTTCCCCTCATCCCCGCCCCCCATTGCCCTGCCAAATTGCCTGGCTTCTCCTGCCTCCCTTTCTCTGTCTCTCCCTTTCTCTTCACCCATTTCCCCCTGTACCTGGGATTTTATAATTAGAAAGTTAGTCATTGGATAAAAAATTCTGGGAGCTTGCCCGGGAATTTCCATTTAAGTGATGAATGTTCATGGAAGGTAAGATGTGGCTTCGTGAGAAGGATGAGAATACTTTATAGCTTCTGTTGGTGTTTCTGGTCTGACAGAGGGGGATGGAGGCATGTGCTTGGAGCATGGCCTGGCACTGGCACTTCTCACTGTAGAACACATAGTCTCTTGTCTACTAGAACATACTAGCTTCTTGTTTTCAAACACGTTCTCAATTTTTATGATGATAATTTTATAATTGTGTCCATACCATGAAATTTCAGCCCCTGTGTTTGTTCACATTTCTGCTTATCCATGTTTCTAGTTAATGATTGGCTTGAGAATGAGCTGGCATTGTGCTCTCCCAGGTCTCTCCATCTTGACTCCTCCTTACTACTTCCTCTCTCCATCTTGTCTCCTCCTTACTACTTCCTCTTTCCTCCTTGTCTCCTAGACCCACCTATCTTGCTTTCCTCTTGGCCAAAAGTGCTTTATTCATTAACCAGTATGAGAAACATATTTATAGAATGACATTCCCCATCATATATATATATATATGTGTGTGTGTGTGTGTGTGTGTGTGTGTGTGTGTTTATAATTTGTCAATATTGTATTAATGTTTACTGCCTATTAATATAGTAAAATGGTTGATGCTGAGTTATTTCTAAAGACAGAAGGTTTATTTAGTTTATAGTTTCTGGGAGTTTCAAAGGCATAACCTAGGCTCTGGTGAGATCTTCATGGTAAAAGGTATCATGATGACATGCAAGAGATATTTCTTAGACAGAAGTCAGAGAATGATACACAGGTTCTGATCTAGTGGCCTCCCATTTGATTCCATATATAAAGGTTTTGCCATCTCGTATCATAGAACATTAAAACCTATACTCTTGACACAGAGACCTTTGGGAATACAACCAATCCATACGTAAACCATAATGAGTAAACATTAGTACGTTTTTAGAAAAGTTTAGGAAATGGCAATCTTGTCTGTGTCATAGAATGCAAAGTCACAATAAAGGATGTAATTGGAGATCATGGAGGAGAGATGGACAGAAGGAGACCAAGATTCAAGAATTGAGTGCTTAAGGATGAAGATACAGGTGTCTTTTAGATGGCTGGGATAAATAAAAGGTAACTAGAAAGTGATTTCAGAAGTGCCATCCTTAGCCTACCTCAAACTTGATCTGCTTCACAAAGTGGCCTGTATAGCTTGCTCTTTGAGTAGATTATAAACCAATGGAAGAACTATTGAGAAAGATTTAATGTCTTTCCTCTGCAGAACTTTAAAACACAAATGCATTTATAAAGTGATTTATCGTGAAAATTCGTGTCAGTGACCTGGACAAGGCAAGATGAAGTGGGGTCAGTCCCATTCATTCAGCCACTGCAGAGTTCACAGGGCTCCTGTGGGGATTGTGCCAGCAAGTGGATCTGAACAAGGGTTAATATGTAGGGAGGCTAGACAAGTGGACAGAGACCAAAACTTCAGTCACAGATATTAGTATGTATAACCCAGTCTAATGCCAAATTCATCTGCTTAAATATCAAGGTAGTACTGTGGAGGTAGGTGTGTGCGCATGCACATGCGTGCACAACACAAACCCATGGGGAGATCATAGGACAACTTATGGGAGTCACTTCTCTTACACAGTGTGAGTACTGCAAAGTCTGTCAAGCTTGGCAACAGGGCCTTTGCCCGTTTAACCGTCTTGCCTGCATGAACTGTTTATTTTTGTATCCAAAGGATCAGCTTTATGTCAAATTCATATTAAGGGACTAACATCCCCAAGTTTAGTCTACAGTCAACACATATTTACAGGAAAAGAACAAGCTAAATGCTCTGAAGATCTCTTTTAGTTTAATGGAAGTTAAATGCTAATGCCCTTGAAAATAAACATAGGTTGGAAAGTTGACATATTGGTGGTTATCCTGATGTAGGAAAAAAAAAAAAAAAACAAAAAACAATGATAGCATGCACAGAAACATGTTTCAACAGGCTGGGCAGAACCTTTCCTGCACAATTCAGCCATTTTTCATGATAGTTGGGATGTATTAGTCAGACCAACATAAAACTTGAGAGTGTCATTTTCTTTAGAATTACACTACAGTTTAGTGACTATAAGGGTGCTTATGTTTCTGTATGTGACTGTATGCATGCACATTTCATTACATCTATGAGAACATGTATTTTACACATTGTGCAGATACTGAGGACCCTCTCAGGGTGTGATGTGCTACAAAACAGTTTACACACACCCATTTTCTCCCACTGCTGCGACAGGGGAACACAGCAATGAGAACTTCACAGAGGAAGAGGCCAAGGCTCCCTTGGACAGCAGCGACTTGAGCACGCTGACTGGAAGATGGATTAGGTTTGCAGTGCACACTCTGTCACTTTGGTTTTACATTATCATCAGTCAGCAAAATCTCCACCCTTCCTGCAGGACCAAGGCACATGAGGGTGGGGTGGCTTGTTATTTTTTCACTAAGCGATTAATGGCTCTGATCTTTAATATGTGGAATTAACTACCATCAGATTAACTGTGCTTAGTGAAAATGATGAAGGGAGAGCTATTTCAGAAGGCACACAAAAAGTGCAAGAAAGGGATGAATCGTAAAGCATGCTTGACAATGAATCATGGAGATCAAGAAGAAAGAGACTGGAAGGGAAGGACACATAATAAGGGAAGTGTTACAGAAACTACAGAATCCTACAGAAAGGAATGAGTTTCAGATCTTTCCTTAAATGACACCTTTTGTCGAATTAATTTACATTCATTTGACAATGAAGTGACTTTTTTGAACGTATCATTTTAAGAGAGGTTTTTTAAATGTGTAATAAAATAGAAAGTTTTATCCTTTTTTTTGTACAGCATGAACTAAGGATTTTAAGACTTGAGCTTATCTTGTGTGACTTCTTTCTTCTTTGACTTGGGATGTGGAGAAAGACATAATGAGTTTTATGTTCAAGTGATTCTTGGTAGAGTGACCTCTGTGTCTTGTAGAAAAGTGTTGAAGCACATGCAGATTAAAGTATGGAGAACCGATGCAAGTAAGTGACAATGTTGCACCTGCCCATGACTCCACACATATGTCAATATGAAAATCAAAAATTAGATGGTTTACTGGATTTCCCAGCAAAAGTTATTGCTTGTCTAAAATTGTCATTTCACTTCCCTGCAGGAGACAGATGGGATTTAGTGCCTGCTAGTATTTGCTTCAAATGAAGTCACCCATCAAGCCTTCTCAGTTCCCTTTCAATGAGAAAGCCATGCAATGCTACCAAGCAGAGTTACAGAGAGAGCAGTGAAGGTTGCAGTAATTTTGTATTGCAGCTACAGCATTCAGGATAGGTCATTTACTCAGATTGCAGGGATACACCAGCATCCCTGAGGATGCAGGACTTCCTGCTCTCTCAGCTATGCTCAAAGAACTTCCTGGGTATCGTCAGCCAGCTTTCCCCCATCCCTGTTGAATAGCTATTACTTTATCCTCACTTGTCAATTGAGGAAACTTAGTAAGCTCTGGAGAAGGCATTGGCTAGTAAGAAGGCATACCTCTCATAAGAAGCAGAGCTAGTGTTTTGCAAGAACAAATTTAGATACTCTTATATCCGTGCCACTGAATTGCAATTCTAATTGCAGAAACTGCTTTTTATAGTGTCTTGGACATTGTGCAGTGATATATTGGTTGCTCCTTTCCTGTGGAAAATCTAGTCTTTGGCATGTGAACCATTCACTAGTAATGCTACAATGTATATTACATAATAATCTCAATTCTGAGTATTATTTTTCCATGTCATTCTGGTAATTTTGTACTGCATTCTGTCCTGTTATCTTATCTAAGCAATTCATTAGATATTATACTGGTAAATTGTTCCATATTCTATCTGGGTGTATACTCTGTTTACTTTCAGGTTAAGAATTCTGTTTGGATGCATGTTTCAGACACTGTGGTTTTTTTTTTTTTTTTTTTTTTTTTTTTTCACCAGTATTGACAGCTGTTCTGTCTAAACTTGTTTTCTCCACAGGGAGATCTTTCATATAGTGGCTGCCATGTTTTGCTAGAGGAATGTCAATGAACACTTCTTTAAAGAAATTATTATTATTTTCATTTTATGAGCATTAGTGTTTACCTAAATGTATATCTGTGTGAGGATATTGGTTCCCCTGGAACTGGAATTATAGATAGTTGTGAGCTGCCATGTGAGTGCTAGGAATTGAACCCAGGTCCTCTGGCAGAGCAGTCCGTACTGTTAACTGCTGAGCCATCTCTCCAGCCCCACTGAATGTTTCTTAAAGGTCAGAAACCATATGAATATGCTGAAGGGTGATTAAAATGAATCTCGTTACTGTACTCACAAAACCACCT